GGGCCTGGGCCTGGGTCTGGTCTCCTTTGTGGGTCCTGGCAGACTGTCTGGGCACCATACTGTGAGACAGAGGGCCTTGCAGGTCTTGTCTGCTTTCTGTGGCCTCTGTCCCAGAAGCAGGCACACTCCTCCTGACTTCCCCCGCCGTCCCCTTTGAGCTCCAGACCACGTTTCTGCCAACTCAGTGCCTGTCCTCTGGGGGATCTCCATGTACCTGGGCTTCACCAAGCACCACTCCTTGCTCTGCAGCAGGCTGACTTTCCTCCAGCTCTTGTGATTTCCATGGAGGCTCTGTCACCCCCAGAAATGTTGCCGCAATGGTGCAGCCAGGCCCTTGCCCCTGCAGGCCATCTGGTCCCTTTGCTGCCTTGAGCCTAGGTGAGGTTGTGGCTCCCTCACAGCCTTGTCCCCACACGCCCCTGCAGCCCCTTCTGCACTGAGCAATGCTCCCGACTGACTGCTGGTCACACAGCGCCTCTTACTTAAAGCATCCTGTGCCTTTAAAATGAAAGCAAACCAGAGTTCCCCAGGCCATGGGCACCCTTCTTGCCTGCCAAGTGCTTGGTCGTCTCTGCCTGAGCTTCCTGGGGTCAGTTCTCGTTTCTCACATCACATTCCCCGGAGGCCTTTCCGGTCCTCGGACTGATAAGCTGTGCCCACTGTGACCCTCACTGTGAGCCCCCCAGCAGCCCTGTGTGCCTCCTGCAGGAGAAAATGCTGGACATCTACTGGCTGCTGCGCGTCTGTCTGCGCACCATCGAGCACGGCGACCGCACGGGGTTGCTCTTTGCCTTCATGCCCGAGTTCTACCTGAGCGTGGCCATCAACAGCTACAGCGCTCTCAAGAATTACTTCGGCCCCGTGCACAGCATGGAGGAGCTCCCAGGTGAGGCCCATTCAGGCTGGGCGGGGCAGACAGGGCCTTTGGTGAGAGCCTCAGAGTCTTGTTGTGAGTCGAGGCCCAGCACACGTGCTCATGGGCAGGAGGCGAGGCAACGCCTGCTCGTGCTGTCGGCGTCAGACAAGCGTGTGCTGATGCCCGCGTGGCAAAGAGCCCTGCCTCGTGCCGGCTCCACCAAACCAGCAGCTCCTCCTGGGCCTGGGAGGGAGACAGGCAACATGGACCCCTGCTTTCACTTCCTACTAGGCGGCACGGTGGCCAGGAGCCAACTGGCCTCTCACCCTGCTGCCGTGGCACTGCCACAGGGTGTGGCCACTGTGCGGGGTGGGGCTTGTCTCTTGGTCACAGCAGGGGTGGGGCTCTGCTGAGGGCCACAGGAACTCTGGCTTCTTGTAGACCCCTGATTCTAGGCCAGGGCAGGTCGGTTATGCCTGTATCAGGCTGTGGGCTGGCAGGCTCCTGGCCTGCCCCGGCCCCAGTTCAAACCTAGGTGCATGCTTTGTCCTCAGAGCGGGTACCGTGGGTGCCGGGGCGGTGACTGCTGAGCTGCCCAGTGCATGTGCTCAGGTGGGTCAGGGCCCAGTCAGAGCTCTCGCCAAGACCCCCGTTCCCCTCACAGCCAGTCTGCACCCTAGTGTCTCACTGGCTCTCAGTGAAGTGGTGTCTGAAGTCCCCAGATGCCAGCTTGGGCCCAGACTGAGCCTTGGAGCCAGCTCTGGAGCCACTACTCAAGCCCACCCCCTGCCAAGGGGGCGGGCTGCCTCTGTAGCCCCCACTCCCAGCCAGCAGCTCTTACTCCCCATCCTGCAGGCTACGAAGAGACCCTGACCCGCCTGGCTGCCATCCTGGCCAAACACTTCGCCGACACACGCATCGTGGGCACTGGTGAGGTGCCCTGCAGAGGGCTCTGGGGGATGGGGTAGGATGGCATTGCAGGCTGCCTGTTCTCTGCACAAAATGCTGGCCAGATGGGCATGAGGCATGGGGCCAGGGCTCATGCTAGGCACCTGCTGAGGCCCAGCTTGTCCCAGCAGACATCCGTGACTCGCTGATGCAGGCGCTGGCCAGCTACGTCTGCTACCCACACTCCCTGCGGGCTGTGGAGCGCATTCCTGAGGAGCAGTGAGTGGGGGCTGGGGGTGGGGCTGCACCCTGCCCTTCGCAGCGCCGTGCCCAGCCAGACCCTGTGTCTGCCACCCCTTGCCTTGCAGGCGCATTGCCATGGTGAGGAGCCTCCTGGCTCCCTACGAGCAGCGGCCCTGGGCCCAGACCAACTGGATCCTGGTTCGGCTCTGGAAGGTAAGCCTGGCTGGAGGGGCGGTGGCTGTGGCGGCTGGAACAAAGGCTTGCCCTGCCCCACTGACCTCCACTGACCCTACCTTCAGGGCTGTGGGTTCGGGTACCGCTATACGCGGCTGCCACACCTGCTGAAAATCAAACCCGAGGACGCCAATTTGCCCAGCCTCCAGAGTGAGTACCCGGCCTGGGCCAGCAGCGGCCTTTGCCTACTGCTCTTGGGTTCTCAGACTTTCCCACTTCTTCCAGCCCTTCTCTGGGACTCGTGTTGGGCCCCAAACTCCATGTCCGTCCCCCAGGGTTTCCATTCTCCTTGGTCCTCCCAGCCCAAGGACACTCTGGGATGATTCACCCTTGCTCCTCTGGCCCCCGTGTGCCCTTTGGGCCTGGAGTTCTGCATGGGTTACAGTGAAAAGGGTCAGCGTCTTCACAGCCTACTGACAGCTTATGCAGGGTGAAGACCCTGCTCCCTGACCTCCATGCTTGTCCCAGCACCATGTCCCTGTGCCCCTTCTTTGCCATCTGCTCGGAAACCTGAATCCAGAGGGGCACAGACTAGGTGTTGCACAGGGCCCAGAGGGTGATCACGGGGCTTCCTGGAGGAAGGGACATGTGGTTGGAAGCGGAGGCTGTGCTCCCTCTCTGGGAGCCGTGGTGGTCGTGGGTGGTCCAGCTTACAGTCTGCCTGCTGTCCCCCTACCACCTGGTGGCTCTTTTTGGCCCACAGGGTGTGCTTCTGCCTTTGTGGGCTGTTTTGGCTTGAAGGGTGTCCCCAGAGGCCAAGTGCCTTGTTCAAAGTCACACAGCAAGTCCTTGTCAGTTGCCTGGGCTCTGCCTCCAGGGTGGGACTGAGCTGCAAGTGCAGAGTGGCAGTGGGCTGGTCTGCGTCCTGCTGTTGCTGGAACTATTGATTTGCACAGGGAGTGGGAGGGCTGCCCAGCCTGGCTGCAGGCTCTGGTTACTGCTGCCTGTCAACTCAGACTTGGCGCCCACCACCTCGGCTGTATGCCAAGGCCAGGCCAAGGGCAGCAGAGGACAGTAGAGGACAGCAGAGCTCAGAGGAGGCTCTTAGAGAAGCTGGCCTTGAGGCAAGTGAGGAAGGGTCTAGGTCCCCCTGTCTAGGTCTGGCCCCCCGGAAGGGCCTGTGATTGAGGACTTGCTGGGGCGGGGGCTGGAGGCTGCTCTAGGCCTGGGGGGGTGTTGTGGGGCTGGGAACAACTGTAGTCTATGGCTTGCTCAGCAGAGGGAGGGGACAGATTAAGCCCTGCTCCTCTGCCTTCATGACCTGAGCATTCCTAGAGCCACCTTTCTGTCCTTACAATAGCCCAACAAGTGAGGACAGAGGCAGTACCCCTAACTAGTGTCCCCGGTGCCCCTGCAGAGCCCTGTCCCTCCACCCTGCTGCAGCAGCACATGGCGGACCTGCTGCGCCAGGACCCTGACCTGGCACCCAGCTTCCTCAACAGTGTCCTCAACCAGCTCAACTGGGCCTTCTCTGAGTTTATCGGCATGATCCAGGAGGTGGGTCGTGGTGGGCTTTGGGGGCCGGAGTGTCGCAGAGCACAAGGCGTGACCTGCAGTTGGCCAGGCCACTGACTGCTGCCCGCCCCTCTGTTGGTGGCTCAGATCCAGCAGGCTGCTGAACGCCTGGAGAGGAACTTTGTGGACACTCGGCAGCTCAAGGTGTGTGCCACCTGCTTTGACCTCTCGGTCAGCTTGCTGCGCGTCCTGGAGATGACCATCACCCTGGTGCCCGAGGTGTTCCTCGACTGGACCCAGCCTACCTCCGAGATGCTGCTGCGCCGTCTAGCACAGGTGTGTCCAGCAGGGCAAGGTGAGCGGGTGGGACCCTGGGATACCCCAGGGGTGAGCCACTGGCCACTGACTGTCTGCTGCCCTCACAGCTACTGAACCAGGTGCTGAACCGGGTGACGGCTGAGAGGAACCTGTTTGACCGTGTGGTCACTCTGTGGCTTCCTGGTGAGGACCTAGGTGCCCTGCTCCCAACATACCGGGCGGGGGCCTTGGTTCCTCTGCCAGGAGCAGCGATGCCCCTTCTCCATTTGTGCTGGTGCAGCCGGGCTCAGCAGCCCCAGCCTTAGTGCGCCCCTCTGCAGGGAGGACAGTGGGGAGGGTGGCACCAGCAGGGGGGTGTGGGGAGCTCATCCCCCTCCCTGCCACCCTGTAGGCCTGGAAAGCGTGGACCACTACCCTATCCTGGTGGCAGTGACAGGCATCCTGGTGCGGCTGCTGGTGCATGGCCCAGCCTCAGGGTGAGTGTCAGAGGCGCGGCCCCCATGGGAGCGGGAAGAGTCTCGTGGGGAGGGGGCTGGGCGGGCCCCCCGAAGCTGCTTCCTCATCTCTAAAGTGGGGCTCAGGGCCCAGTCTGAGGCAGAAAGGGCTGAGACCCCTGAATAGGTGGCATGGTGGCGGCTGAGGGGAGAGTCAGGGGCTCCAGCCGGACAGGGCACTTGGCCCATCGTCAGGGCCTCAGGCGGGGCAGGGGGACCAAGACTCTAGGGGGGGCACCCTGCGATGTCCAGGACAGCGCTGCTGAGACCCAGAGCCGTGCGCACACACTGCCACCTGCTCTGGCAATGAGCATGTACTACCTTTATTAAGAAACTCTGTGACAGCCAGATTCAGGGCCCTCCGGGGGCCCCCAGCTCAACTCCACACAGGAGGGATTCCCAGGCCCCTCCCTGCCTCCCTGCAGTGGCAGGAGGGGGTGAGAGCCACACGAAGTCATTAGACTGAGGCTGGTGCCAGCCCTTAAGAGGCTTCTCCCCCCAAGGGACAGCTCAGCCCTCCCATCTGGGCCATTGCTCAGCAGGCTTTTTACTGCTAAAAAGCTGGGGGCGCTGGGCCACGGTGCCCCTTACTGCTGTTTGTGAGCCCATGGGAGAGGCTGTGCCCTCAGAGTGGCCTGAGATGCTCCTGGACTCAGAGCAGGGCCACCCTGGCTGGGCCTCAGACAGACCCCCCAGGAGTCTGCGGAGGAGCCTCATGCCTACCCACCGGACTCTGTGTGGATTTGGAAAACTGGACGTAGGCTGGATATTGGTGCGTGGAGTCCGCTTATATCAGAGGAGGGCTCGTTCCTTCCTTCCAGCCTGCTGGTGGGGGCCAGGTCTTCCTTCGGAGCCTTCCCTGTTTCCCTTGGTGCTCACTCCCTTGCTGCTCCCTTGGGGAGGGGAAAGTGCTGATACCTCAGCCCTTCCCACCACTCCTGGGTGGCTGCCTCAGCCCCTGAGGGTGCCCTGGACTGTCCCAAGTGGGCCTCGGTTCCAGTCCTCACACCCGGAGGAAAGGGGGCATAGGCAGCCCTGTGCTGAGGTGAGGCAGGAGGGTGGTCGGGGGCCCCAACCCCTGACTGGCGAGTGGGACTATTGTGGTGCAGTAGGGGGCTCACTCCGGAGGCTGGAGGACCCAGCCCATGCTTCCCACCAGCATCTGGCAGTACTCTGCACGGCAGCAGGGCGCAGGGCAAGCAGCAGGCAGACGGTGACCCAGGTGGGGGCCCTGGGCAGCCTAGGTCATTACCAGCCCCTCAGAGCCTGTGGTGCTAGTGGACTCTGAGGCAGCCTTGAGCCGCAGACCCATGGGGTTATAGAGATCAAAGTCCTCAGCGACTGCCAGCTGCACAGGACCGTCAAGGCCCTTCCTGCCAGGCTCCAGAAAGACCACATGCTTGTGGACGCTGGCCTTGCGGCTGGGCGCATCGGGGGGCGTGCTGCTGAGCACCGAGGACTGTGCGCTCAGTTCCTGGAGCGGGCTGGGTGCTCGGGGCCAGCAGTGGCAGGTGCGGCGGTAGCAGCGGCGGCAGCCAGGACAGGGTGGCGCGAACAGGTAGAGCAGCACCAGCACCAGGCCTACAGCGCAGCCCAGCAGGGTGGTGTACCCAGTGTTGAAAGCCTCGGGCTCAGGGTGCGGGAAGTGCACACTCACGTTGTACTCATGTGTTTGGTTGTGATGCAGGCGGGGCCCAGTGGCCAGGCACACAAAGATACCCTCATGCCATGGCTGCACGTTGCTGATGGCCAGGCTGCCATCGCCCATCACTGCAATGCTGCCATTGGGGGACCCTGGCGCCACCAGCAGCTCATGCTGTGGGGATACCCAGGCAACGCGCAGGGCAGGGGCGCTGGTGTTGCAGTGCAGCCTCAGAGACCGACCCACCTGCACTTGGAGCTGCTCTTCAGGCTGTTCTAGTCCCCGAGCCAGGGTAGCCGAGCAGTTCTCAAAGACACGGCTGTGGTCAAAGAAGCGAACACGGGATGTGGGTACCTTGAAAGCCAGGCACATGTACTCGCGTGCAAAGTCACTCACAGCACTCAGTCCCCGCTGGTACCACCGCTGCAGCAGGTAGTAGAGGCGGCAGTCGCAGGGCAGCGGGTTGTTGTGCAGGTAAAGGCCGTTCTTGAGAAAGGCCGGCAGCGCTGCCAGGCTGGGTATGCTGACTTGTCCCAGGTGGTTGGAGGAGAGATCCAGAGTGTGGAGGTGGGCAGAACTTAGACCGTGCAGGTGGTCGAAAGAGAAGGTGGCCAGTTCATTGCAGCCGAGGTACAGCCGGCGGAGCATGCCCAGGCCCCGGAAGGCAAGCTGGTCCAAGTGCACCAGGCGGTTATTGAACAGAAGCAGCATCTCAAGCGCCCCCAGTCCGTCGAGGTCATGGCGGCCAACCCTCCGCAGCACGTTCGATGATAAATCGAGCAGCCGCAGGCCGCTAGCATTAATAAAGACTCCGCGACTCAGCACCTCCAGCTCGTTGTGACCCAGGCGCAGGGCACGCAGCCGGGAGAGGGGGGTTAGCCAGCCAGGCGGCAGGTGCTGGAGTGCATTGTGGCTCAGGTCGAGGTCGGCAGCGAATGCAGGTAACGCGACCGGAACGTCCTGCAGCCCAAGGCCCGCGCAGCTCAGCAGGTCGGCGGCACAGGTGCAATTGTAGGGGCAGTTATGGGGCATGGGGCTCAATAAGGTCTCCGAGTCCAGGGTGCTTGATCCGATGCACAGCGTGCACAGCAGTGCGCCCAGCAGCACCAGCCAGGCCATGGCAGCGAAGACCCAGGGTGGGACCGGTAGCTCTGCGTGGGGCGCAACTCCGGGACTCACCCCCTTCTGCCCTGGCTCAACGTGGGTGGCGCTGAAAGGCAGATGGCGGGCAAGGCAGGATGCGAAGTCGACCCGGCACAGCCGGCAGCTTCTGCTCACCAGCTCCAGGTTGATTTAAGGCCGCCGCCCGGTACTGCTCTCAGCACTCTCTCCTTGGGTCTCCCGGCTCTGAGTGTTTTCACGGACACCTCGCTCCTAAGTACTCTCTTGGAGCCAATTATTCAGGGGCGGGGCCTCGGGCTCCCATTGGCTCCTGTTGGAGAGGGGCGGGGCAGTTGCGCCCCAGGGAGCAAGGTTCCCTCGTGGCCACCAGAGGGGGTGCAACTCTAGCCCCAATGCCCCAGCCTGTGCTTGGTCGGCAGGTTCCTATGGCGCCCATCTAATTTCCCTGAACCATAGCAGGGCAGCCTGGCAAGGGTGCCTTTAAGCTGCTGTTTCCTTTAAAAGGTCAATGTATGTTAGGGGGCAGGCGAACTCTGCACTACCTTCTGGTAGTGCCCCTGTGCCTCCTTAAACTGGTACCCCAGCTGTATGGGCCCTTACTGGGATTTAGGACTTCTGGAGGAGGTTGAGAAACAGGGATATGGGGTGGGCTAGGTGTCACTCCCCATCCCACCCCCCAATAGATAATGCTCTCGGAGAGGTCCCAGCCTCCTAACTCATCTCACACCCTCTCCCACTAGGACAGAAAGAGCCACATCAGTGCTCCTGGCCGACCCCTGCTTCCAGCTCCGCTCCATATGCTACCTTCTGGGGCAGCCAGAACCTCCTGCTCCTGGCACTGCCCTGCCTGCTCCCGACCGGAAGCGCTTTTCTCTACAGAGCTGTGAGTTGGCCAGGGTGGGTCAGGGGACAGAGACTAGGGACTGGGCCAGGCCATAAGTCTCAAAAAGAGCAAACTTCCAGGCTGGGGTGCTGCTGAGGCACTTGGTTCTAGGACCACACTTGGCCTGACCCCTCTGACCAACCCCAGATCCAGACTACATCAGTGTTGAGGAGCTGGCCCAGGTGGAACAGATGCTGACCCACCTGACCTCTGCATCTGCCCAGGCAGCAGCCGCCTCCCTGGTGAGTGGGGCCACCACACAGGCCCGCACCTATCACTTGAATGCATGACACTGTGCGCACTGTATAGGCAGTGTATGTCCAGCTGCCTGGGCAACCAACCCCAGCGCCCCTCCCACTCTGCTCCCTGCAGCCCACCAGTGAGGAGGACCTCTGCCCCATCTGCTATGCTCACCCCATTTCTGCTGTGTTCCAACCCTGTGGCCACAAATCCTGCAAGTAAGTGGGCCCCATGGCTGTGGGAGACAGGGTGGGGCAGGGCAGGGGGAAAAGCAGGGACACACAGGCCACCTTCATCCCCTCCTGTCACAGAGCCTGCATCAACCAGCACCTGATGAATAATAAGGACTGCTTTTTCTGCAAAGCCACCATCGTGTCTGTGGAGGACTGGGACAAGGCAGCCAACTCGAGTGCCACTTCCTCAGCTGCCTAGGTCAGTCCCCACAGCAGGAGCCTTCATCCCTGAGCCCAGACCCAGGCTGGGCCCTATTTATGAGTGCCCCTTGCCAGCCCCTACACCTCCCACAACACATCCAACTTTCCTACCTGTGTGTAACCTCAGCAGTGGGAGCCCAGCCATGCCCTCATTGTGCCTGAGCTTGACTCTCAGTCAGGGCCACAGTGAGCATTAAATTATTATTCCATACAGCCTGGGCCTGGCCCTTCTTGAGGGAATGGGCTTCATGGGGTATGCCCAGCAAGGGGTCCTGCCAGACTTTGTCCACAGAAGAAGGCAGGTGTCCGAGTCTCAGCTTTGTCCCAGCCTCCCTGGGCAAAAGTCAACGAACGAGTCCAGGGCCTTCTGATATGTCAAGCAGCTGGGACATATCTGCCCCAGTGCTCCCCTGGGAGATAATGGGCTCAGGCAGCCCCACGGCAGCCCCTCACATGATGATCCGAGGTTCTGGCACAGACTCCCCGATGGACTTGTGGGGCAGCACACTGGCCCCGTTGAGGTAGAGCTCATCGTTCACTATGACATCTTCACCCAGCACCGTCACATTCTCCATTCGGACCTTGGGGGAAAGGGCAGGCCTTGTCAGTGGGGCAGGCACACTGCCCACCCCTCTCCCCATGTGACCAGCCCAGAGGCTTACCCACTGGCCCACGCGGCAGCGCCAGCCCACAATGCAAGACTCAAGCCAGGAGTGGGAACGAATGTGGGCGTCTCGCAGCACTGTGCACCGCCGGATGCACACACCGTCCTCCACCACCACACCTGGACCCAGGCTCACGTTGGGGCCGATGCTGCAGTTCTGGCCAATGCGGGCACTTGGATCCTGAGGGCAGTGGGGAAAACACAAGTGGGTCACTTGTCCCCCAGGACTGAGGGTTTAACGATGGGCTGGGCCAGGGCCTCACCACCAGCACGTTGCCCACGATGCCAGGGCCCGAGCACAGCTGCTCAGGCTTCTTCTGTCGCAGTGACTGTAAGAAGAGGCACATGCCAGTGAGGAAATCCTTGGGCTGCCCAATGTCCATCCAGAAGCCTGCAGGGGGGAAATGCATCAGGGGCTCAGCCCAGCCACAGAGTACCCCCACCCCGTGGCTACTTCCTGCCTCACCCTGCAGCTCCATGGCATATAGCTGCCCCTCCTTGGCCATGACAGGGAAGACCTCCTTCTCAATGGATGTAGGCCGAAGCTGTGGGGGCGGGCAGCTTGTGAGCAGGGTCATGGTGGCGGCAGCCTGCCCTACCCCAGCCCCCCAAGAGCCACCGCTACACACCTGGATGCGCTGCAGCACAGCAGGGCTCAGAATGTACATGCCTGCGTTGATCTTATTGGACACGAACACCTGCGGCTTCTCCACAAACCGGTGAATGCGGCCCGTGTCGGCCTCGCACACCACCACACCATACTTCGAGGGCTCCTCTACTCTGGTCACCTGGATGCAAGGGGACCTCAGGCCTAGCCCAGTGTTCCTGAACCTCCATGTGCACATAGTCATGGATCTCAGGGCCCGTGCCCCAAATGCTTCAAGTCTGTACAGCTCTGCACCCACAATATAAGGGAGGTTGGACATGGGAGGTAGAAGCGTCAGAGAAGAAAGACCTGGCCCTTACCAAAATGGAGCCCTCCTGGCCATGGTGCCGGTGGAACTGCACCATGGCCTGGAAAGGGAAATCGCAGATGACATCACTGTTGAGGACGAAGAAGGGGTCTGTGGTCTCAGACAGCAGGTCACGGGCTAGTGCCAGGGGTCCAGCTGTTGGAGGCAGACAAACAGGTCATCATTTTCCAGGGGGAGGTGAGCCCTGGATCCAGGCTCAGCAGGCTCCATCCAGGCTGGGTCTTACTCCTTTCCCAGCCCTAAACCACAGGGGGCTGCCTGGCACCTTGTTTCTACCCAGTAGCAGCACTGAGCCCCTTGCCCCTAGTTAAAGAGTAGTTAACATTTATACAGTCCTAAAATTATATTGGCTGTTTGAAGGCAACCGTGAGGCTGATGTGGCCACCGGTGAAAGTGAGTTTCACACCCCTGCCCTAAACTCCCAAGGGACCTTCCCTTCTCTACTGACCTGTCCCCAAAGGCTCCTCTTCGTGGGACATGGAGATTCTGATTCCTAGCTGGAAGGTAAAAGCCCCAGTTAGATTCCTCCCACCGGTGTGAGAAGTTGAGTGGGGACCAAGGGAAGGGCCAAAAGTCGACTCAAGCCTCACCCTCTGCTCCTGTGCCTTCATTTCCTTCTCCAGCACCTGAGACATGTAGCTCACGGCCAGAATCACGTGGTCCACACCTGCCTGTCGGACAGAACAGTACCAGCAGACAGGTGGGCTTAGCTAGGGGTATGGGTGTCCCCCACCCAAATCGCTCGCCATCCCTTGTCCTGCCACGTCCCTGGCCTTACCGCGGCCAGAGCCTCCACTTGGTGCAGCAAGATGGGCTTGTTGCAGAAGTCCACCAGTGGCTTCGGGATGCTCAGCGTCAGCGGACGCAGGCGCGTCCCGTAGCCGCCTACCAAGATCAGTGCCTTCATCGCGCCTGCGGGCGGGGGGCTGGAGACTCAGGCCTGGCTCCACGGTGTTCGCGGCCTGCTTGGCCGACTCCTGCCGCTTGCTCCCGCCGCCCGGCCGGACCCGTGCCCTTCACCGGCCAGACTGACCAACGCTGGGTCTGTCTGGTCACCCAGGACGCCCTGACGCCCAAATTCGGGGCGCCACAAACCAGGAGGTAACGCCGGCTGGAGAGGCGCTGGCTCCACACTTAGGCAGGCCCCGGGCCGGCGGTGACGTAAGCCCAGATGGGCCAATCGGCGGCCTCATACGTGGCACCGCCGCGGGCGGAGGAGCGTTGAGGCGTGGCTCCGGCAAGCGTAACCAATGAGAGCCGGAGTGGGCCCAGCTGCCATGGGGACCGCGCCCGGGACTCGCGGGTCAGCAGGCCATTGGTGGCTCCAAAGGCGGAACTGGCGGCAAGGGCGAGGCTGCCTTCTCTGCTGGCACCTGTAGACTCTGCCGCCGCCTGCGGCCCACTTCCCGCCCGTCCCAGGAGGAGCCAGCGAGGGCCGGGGCCGCGTGTTTCCTGGAAGCCGCATGTTCTTCACAAAGACGGACACGACTGAGTTCCTAGCATCTTTATTTTGACATACACGACCTCAGACACAAGCGGGGCGGGAAGCGCTGGATGTACAGAAGGGGGCGGCTCCGCCCAAGCCCCAGCGCCCCTTCCCCCGCACGCGACATCTAGAAAACGCACAACTGCGCTGGGACAAAAACCCGGAGCAGGCTTCCGGTGGTGAGGACAGGAAAGTGGAGCAAGAAAGCGGTTCCCAGAGGCGAAGCCTTACAGTTCCAGGAGAAGCAAAGGATTCTCCCAGTGTTCTCCAAGTTTTTCTCATTAAACCGTTTTTTTTTTTTAACTCAGCACAACAGCTTTCAAGTTCAAAGCAATCTGCATCTAAAGGGCGTGCACCTGGCCAGGTGTGAGGCGTGAACAGGGGCTACTGAACTAGCCTAGGCCTTTGGCCCCATTGGGAGGGCCCCCAGGCCCACTGCACAGATCCCAGTGTAAGGGAGGGGTGGGGTCCCTGGCAAATTGCTGTAATGGTCCCCTTCCTCTTTAAGCACCGCCCAATCCCACCCCTTAGGGGGCTGGTGTCACTTGGCCCGAGGAAGCACTATAGAGGGGTCACTTGAGTGCCCCAGCTGTGATCCCACGTTGCACTTTGGTCCCGAGTTGGGGCTAAAAAGGCAGGACCTGGCAGGGACAGGGTCTGGCAGAGCAGTGAAATGGGTGGTCGCGGAGCGCATGTGCACGTGCACACAGGCCCACCAGGTAACAGGGCTGCGTCTCCAAGTGTCAAAAGTGCTGAAAGAAGGGGACCTACCGGTGGGGAGCAGCAGCAAATCCCAAGCCCTCTGCTCCCAAAATATAGGAACTCGGAGACACAGCACAGCTCTAGGCCCGAGAGGTTCAAAGGTCTCTCAAGTGGCCCTGTGTCTCAGCCTCTGACCTGCCAGGAAATGACTGACTACACTAAAGAAGAGCCACTGTCCCTATAGTTGAAGCCACAGAATGGTGCAGGACAGGTCATTACCAACCAGAAACAGGCAAGCTCTCCCTCCCAGTCCCAAAGAATGGGAACCTGCCCACCACTGGCACCAGGGTCAGAGGGCTGAGCAATGGGATCTACTCAGGAGCCCATTCAGATGTGTGAGGCTGCATCTAAGGACCAGGAGATTAGTCCATTGGTCACCAAGGCCTCTCACAGACACAGGCTAGCAAGCTTAACCTCTAATGCCCAAACATGCCCAAAGGGACATGCCCAAAGTGACAGCGACAGTGGTCCTAGGCTTGGAGATGAGGGCACTAACCTTGGCAATGGTTAGGTGATTGCAGTGTCACCTCCTGGGCACGAGTTAGAGGTGTCAGGTCTCTGCCATTAAGGGCTGGCAGCAAAAACTAAAACCACGGGAAAGAAGGGGTAACTGGTCCAGCCTTTGCTGCACCACTGTCAGTGTCGAGGGGTCGGTTCCAGGCTGCAGAGAGGGTGCTGGGCCAACAGGAAAACACCTCCTGCAGGTCGTTCTGCTACCAGTTCTCTCTGAAAAGGCCGCACCTGCTGAAGAAAGGCCCGGGGCAAAAACCCACTTCAAAAATGGGAAAGAGTATCTGAGGAAAGAATGAAGGAAATCAATATTTACTAATGAACAAGGCTATACCCCAGGGGGAGGATCCCAAGAGGCAGGGGCTGGTAGGTGGACAAATGCAGACTGATGGAGCCCCAGACTGGTAAGACAAAATTCTCATTATCAGAATGTGGGCACCTGTACCCAGAGTACAAAATGCCCCCACGTGCAGACAAGTTTAAAGTTCTCCCTTGTAAGCCTGGAGCTCCCCACAAGGGGCCGCTGCCTTGAGCTTGGCCTGGGAAAAGGTGAGACCCTGAGCGGACCACAGCCCCTGAGCCCTGGGAGGAGTGGCCCATCCGGAGGCAGCACAGCTGCCCAAACTAGAAGAAGACCCCCACTCACAGCGCAAGAACCGCAAATACTGCCTTGGCCAATCACCAGAGGCCCTGAGGCCTGCTGGGACACTGACTCCCAATAGAGCAAGGGCCCCTTCAGTGGGGCAAGAGATCTTGGGAGGAAAGGACGGCTCGGGTGTGCAGGCAGGAGGAGGAGGAGCAGGTTCCAGTGAAGAGAGCTGTAGGCAGACTCCGCCCAGCCTCATGAATCTAGCCGCAGGCCAAGATCGGAACCCAGAAGGGTGGGTCCGGCTGTATGCAGCTGGCCTTGAAGTGTCCTGGAGACATCAGTCAAAGAGCGGCTGACCCCTGAGACACTAGAACATGTCCCCCTGGAGATGGACCCCCAATCCCTCTGCTTCTGAGGAACGAGGGGTGAGCAGGAATGGAGGGGCCTGTGTAAGTGCAGGGTTTTGCCCCACAACCACCAGGGCCCTGCAGCCACAGACTCCAAAAATCTAGGCAAGAAAAATCAATGGCCAAGGACACCCTGTCCCTGCTGACAAGCCCACCAGGGGCCCCTCTTCTAAGTCAGCCTGGACACCGCAGTCAGAGCCGTAGGGCTCAGGAGCCTGGCCGAGAGGATGCGCGTTCTGTTCTCCTCCTCTTTATATATGGATTCCAGGCTACAGCTAAAAACATTTCTTTTAGTTACACCCAAGAGAAATATAACCCTTTAAAAGCAAGTCTGTGTGTCCTCGCAGCGAGTTCAGATCAATGGTCCCTGCCTGCGGGTGGAGAGGAAGGGGTTCTGGGGACCCAGAGCTGGGCCTACTGGTTCTCGTCCCGCATCTGCTCCATGATGTTGATGAGGTTCTCCAGGCCAAACACGTAGCCTCGGTCTGGCCCGTCATGCACGGTGGGGTCGTCCCGGAAGCCCTTGAACGTGCTATGTGCAAAGTCGATCATGCGGACATCCACCTTGGGTGGAGAGGAGGAGCCTGCCTCAGGGCTGGTGCTGCTGGGGCTGGTGCTGGGGCCGCAGGGTGATGCCGCCTCAGGCAGCCCTGTGTCCAGGTGCTTGAGACGCATCTCGGACCGGCGGTCCAGGCAGGACTCGGCCCGACACTCCTTGCCATCATAGATGACGAGCAGGGAACTGGAGTAGAAGCGGTATGAGGCCTGCCGCTCTAGCACCGCCTTCAGGCCCTGCAGTTTGCTCAGGATGGGCTCAAAAAGATCACGCCGCAGGTCCAAGCCGTTGTGCAGGTACTGATAGAGGGCGTTGCGGAAGCCTTCAATGGAGAGCCCACGGCCATAGTACTTGTTCCTGCAGAGGTAATGCCCTGTGTCCAGCTGGTACACCTGAAACCCCAGGAGACAAACAAGGGTGAGTGCCAGGCCATCTGATGACCTTGCGGGGCCCTGAGCAAGCAGTCTGGGAGGTACCTCTGACCTGCCTCAGCTTTTCTGCTCATCCCTACACAACTCGGGGGGGGGGGGGGACAGCCAGGTTCACCCTAAGTTTCCCTGCAGTAAAGCCTCCGCCATCATCTTTATTTTTAAGATTTTATTTATTGACTTTTAGAAGGAGGGGGAGGAAGGAAGAGAGGGAGAGAAACATCAATATGCTGGAGAAACACTGATCGGCTGCCTCTCGCACACCCCCACTGGGGACCAAACCCACCACCCACACGTGCCCTGACCGGGAATCAAACCGGCCACCTTTCTCTTTGCACGACGCCCAACCCACACAGCCATACCAGCCAGGACTGCTGTCTCCTTTGAAGTCCTTTTCCAAGCTTCCCTGCGGCCCAGTTGGACTCAAACTTGGAACACCTTACTGCCAGAAAAGTCTTACTTGCCCCAATGTCAAGGCAACAGGCCCTCACAGCAGCTCTGTACCTGGAGCCCAGATCAAAGTCGCCGGGCAAGGATAAGGGGGCTCAAGGAGCATACTCACAGGGACGCACTCCCGCACCCTCCGGGGGGTCCACCCTCTCAGAGGAGATCCAGGACCAGTATGGACAAGGAGAGCGCCGGGCCCTCACCTGCATGCCGCAGACCCTGACCCCCAGTGTGGCTGATGTGCTCTGCTCGCACTTCCTCATCTGCCGGGCCGCCTTCTCGGCGGACGCGTCGTCGCCGTGCTGCCGGGTGCCCATCTTCAGGTCCAGCACACAGGGGTACTTGAAGTGGTGCACCACGTTCTCAAGCAGAAGGAACTCTGGGCCACGGTCAAGGAGAATGACAACCACACTCTACGAAGGAGGGCAGTCTCATCTGATGCAGTCTGTGGTCACCTCACAAACTCTCAGGTGTGGATTTCACACCGCTGGCCTGTTCTTTCTTTAAAAAATTTTTATTGTGTTAAAAATATAAACACACTACTTACCGTCCTAAATGTTTTGAAGCGCACAGCTTGGCGGCCTCAAGCACCTTCATGCCATTGGGAACCGTCTCCCTATCCTCCTCCAGGACTTCATGATCCCCAACAAAGCCTGAAGCCACCCCCACCGAATGCCCCCCCATGACCTCTATTCTTCTTCCTGTCCCTGTGACTCTCCTGTTCCAGGTACATGGTGTATGGGGGGGGTGTGTAACAGCTGTCCTTCTGGGTCTGGCCACTCCACTCGGCACTACAGGTCTGCCGCACTGCAGTGTGACAAAACCCCACCCCCTTTTCGGTGGAGTAAGAGTCCCCGCAGGTGCATATACCATCTCCACTGAGGGCGCCCTTTCTTTATTCTCCAGATCTGTTTCTCTGGCATCACCCGACTACAGACGACGCTGGCGGACGTCCACACAGCCTGGCCCCGACAGTGCACCAGGGCCGCACTCCGGCCGCACCGCAGACACAAGGCAGGTGTCTCTGTCGCACTGCTACAAATAGGAAAAACCAGACCTGACATTCCCAAATGGGAATCTTTATAAAAAGCCAGTTTAAATTTCCGTCTTGCCATTTTCTGACTTAACTTCAAACCAGTGGACTAAATATATTTAAAATCTACCCCCTAGTACTTCCAAAACCTTCTCCTCAAAACAGCTCTATGGCCCTGGCTTCCTGCCACCTACGCCCACGCCACCGTCTACAGCTACCGCCTGCAACAACCCTGGACGAAGGTGCAGGCTCTTCCTGTGTCTGCCCAGAGTCACTGGGGCTCACGGTCCGGACCTCGACTCCCTATCTGGGCAAGGACATGACCACGGAGTCTCCGAGGATGAGACACTCAGCATCAGTCTGACGAACATTTTAGCGTCTCCTAATTCTTCAAAGAATAACTTAGAAAAAACCATTAAACTTGGCCTTTAATTAATCTGTCACCTGCTGTAACCTATAAGTAAGTGACAAGAACTCTGAGGAGAGCCGCAGAAACGCCCACAGCACAGGTGCCTGAGAGCCGCTCTCTGGCTCTGGGCACGGCACCGGCCCCTGTGCCTGCCGCTCTTCCTCTGAAGACGGGGACCCTAACAGTCCCTCCCTCCGACTTTCAGGGAAACCGGTAATGACGTATGACGCGCTCTGCACACTTCCTCTGGGTTTCTCAGTGAGTGTTCGGTACTTGCTGTCCTCTGCTGCAAAACACTGAGCAACTGATTACCCGGGTTCCCACTTCATAATACTTTACCTTTTAACATCTTAAAACTATTTTACACTGAAAAAGTATAGTGTTTATCTTTAGATAAAAAAACGAAGTAAAAAAAACCCTCACCTAAATCAAACATATTACTTCTTAAGTTTTATCTTTTGGGAGGGAAAATACACATGTGTGCATGTCTGTGTGTGACTCTAGACACGCCCTGATGAATACAGCAGCCACTGGTCACGTTCCGTGCTTTACATTTTAATGAATGAAAATACATTTTAAATTCAGTAACTCAAGTCACAGCAGCCCGATTTTGTGTGCTCTGTGTCTCCCGTACTAATAGAAGCACAGATGCAGAATACTTCCACCGCCACACCAGCTCCCCTGGGCAGCACACTCCCAGCCTGCTAAGTTTAAGATTCAGCTTCAGCCCTGGCTGGTGTGGCTCTGGATTGAGCGCTGGCCTGCGAACCATAGGTTGCTGGTTCCGTTCCCAGTCAGGGTACATGCCTGGGTTGCAGGCCAGGTCCCCAGTTGGGGGTGTGTGAGAGCCAACAACACATTGATGTTTCTCTTTCTCCTTCCCTTCCCCTTTCTCTAAATATAAATAAAATACTTTTTAAAAAAAAGATTTAGATTTACCACCAAAAAGCAGAAAAAAAAACAAAACAAAAAGCTAAAGAAGGCTCTGGCAGACGGCCACACAGCCTTGCACTGAAGCCCCACTCCAGCCAGCACCTCAGAAATAAGGGAGGCGTCTTTGTCGCACTTCTGTAAATGGGAAAAATCGGATTTAACGTTCCCAAATGGGAATCTTCAGAAAAAGCTGGATGATGAAAGTAAGGAGAAAGAAGAGCCAATGAGAAGGGATACAAGAACCAAAGAGGGAACCCTGGGCGGAGAGGAGGTCTCCTCTGCACCAGCAGGCACCCGACCCAGGACTGGGGCCCCAGCAGCAGACAGGCTAGTGGAGCAGCAACAAGGATACTGTAGAGCTTCCGGTCCTTGGACTCAGAGCGCATGCGGCTCAGCTGCTGCTTGTGGCAGCGCAGGCTCCAGGGGTTGTGGCTGATCTTCTCGGAGCTAAGGCCGCTGTTGCTGTCTAGCATCTGGAAAGGGACGTCGGAGTGGCTGTGCAGCTCCGCCTTCAGACTCTTTGCCTCCTGGGCGCTGAGGAGAGAGAACACACTGGAGGTCACCCTCCGGGCTCTCACTATGCAGGGTGTGTCAGGCCTAACTCACCCTGCACAGGCCCCACTGCGGGGTGGCGCGGGGCCGGATGTGTGAGCGCATCTAAGTGAGCGGATGGTTATCAGTGGTCTTCCTTTGTCTCTGAAAACTAATTCTTTACCTTAGACTATGTGATGAAGTTACCACTTCACATCCACTAGGAAGGCCACTGTAAAAAGAAACTGAGCAACTGTTGCTGGGGGGGAGCGCTTGGACGCTGCCGGAGGGAGTGTGAACGGCACAGCCACTGTGAACAAGTTTCATGGTTCCTCGGAAAAGCTGAAACACGAACTCTCCTACGAGCCAATAATTTCACTCCTAGGGACACCCCGGAAAAACATCAAAGCACCAACTCAAACACGTACTGTAACGAACATGCAGTGAACGGGAGCTGGAAACTACCCCAGGGCCCGTCAGTGGGCTGGTGGACGAACATGAATGGAGTGTCTACACTGTGGGACATGACCGAGCCATAAAAGGGGATGAGATTCTGATACCTATCACAACGTGAATGAGCTCTGAAAATGTCCTCGGTGAAGTGGGCCACAGGTGAGGGGAGAAATACTGTGGAATTCTGCTCAGATGAGGCAACTTGAACTCACAGAGACTAGTACGGAGCTGCTTTGGGGGGTAATGCAGCAGTTCCGGAAACTGATGGCTGGTGGCTGTGCCACACTGTGAATGCACTTACTGGCCCTGAGCTGTGTCCTGGGAAAAGGCGAAAATGGAAAACTCTGCTACGTGTATTTCACCACAGTTTTTAAAAATACAAAAGTTAATGAGCATAAAGTTTCACACTTGACAGACAGAGTGGTGCACAAGATGCCACTATCAAGGGCATGAGTAACGTCCTTTCAGACGGTGCAGTGTGCACGATACCTGACACGGAATCTTTCTTTAACGAGCCTGAAACGAGGCAGACCCTGGCACTATGCTTATGAATGTCTGCACGCCTCTGTATCAGGCCTGGAAGAAAGTGGAAAACAAAGACATGACAAGCAGGCCCCAAGGACCCTGTGTTTCTCAGTGGGCAAGGCTGCACCTGTGAAAAGGAGGAAGCCATTGAAGAAAGGAAATGCTATTTCTAAAATAAGGCAAACCTGCCCTGGCTGGTGTGGCTCAGTGGATTGAGCACCAGCCTGGGAACTGACAGGTTGCTGGTTCGATTCCTGGTCAGGGCATATGCCTGGGTTGCAGGCCAGGTCCCCAGGTCGGGGTGTGCAAGAGGCAACCAATGGATGCCTCTTATACATCAATGTTTCTCTCTTTTTCTCCCTCCCTTCTCCTCTCTCTAAATAAATAAAATCTTTAAAAATGCTGTAGAATTTCTTTAAAAATTTTTTTTAAATAAGGGATTAAAAAAACTTAAACCACAAAGGGATTTTGGTGAGGAAATGACTCCAATTGGAAATATCAGAACTCTGGCCTTCAGTGTCGTCCCAATAGGCCAAGGTTGTAGGTTCAATCCCCGATCGGGCACATAAGAGACAACCAATGAGTGCACAGACAAGTGGAGCATTGATATCAGTGGGGCTCCGTCTCTCTCCCCATCTCCAAACTCAATTCTTCTTTTTTTATTGCAATTTTATTTTTAAAAATATATTTTATTGATTATGTCATTACAGTTGTCCTATTTCCCCCCTCATTCCCCTCCACCTTGCACACCCCTCCCCACATTCCCCCCTTTAGTTCATGTCCGTGTGTCACAAGTTCTTTAGCTTCTACATTTCCCATACTATTCTTGCCCTCCCCGTCTATTCCGCCCCCCACCATTTATGCTACTTATTCTCTGTACCTTCTCCTCCTCCCACTCCCCTGTTGCTAACCCTCCACGTGATCTTCATTTGTTCATTCCTGATTTAGCTGTCCTCTTAGTTTGCTTTTGTTTTAGGTGTGGCTGTTGATAACTGTGAGTTTGCTGTCCTTTCACACTGTTCATATTTTTTATCTTTTTTCTTAGATATTTCATATAATAAGGGCTTGGTGATGATGAACTCCTTGAATTTGATCTTATCTGAGAAGCACTTTGTCCTTCCATTCTAAATGAAAGTTTTGCTGGACAGAGCAATCTTGGATGTAGGTCTTTGGATTTCATGACTTGAAATACTTCTTCCCAGCCCCTTCTTGCCTGTAAGGTCTCTTTTGAGAAATCAGCTGACAGTCTGATGGGGACTCCTTTATAGGTGACTGTCCCCTTATCTATTGCTGCTTCTAGGATTCTCTCCTTCATTTTAATCTTGGCTAATGTAATTATGATGTGCCTTGGTGTGTTCCTTCTTGGGTCCAACTTCTTTGGGATTCTCTGAGCTTCCTGGATTTCCTGGAAGTCTATTGTCTTTGCCAGATTGGGGAAGTTCCCCTTTATTATTTGTTCAAATAAGTTTTCCATTCGTGGCTGTTCCTCTTCCCCTTCTGGTACCCTTATAATTCAGATGTTGGAATGTTTAAAGATGTCCTGAAGGTTCCTAAGCCTCTCCTCATTTTTTTGAATTCTTGTTTCTTCATTCTTTTCTATTTGATAATTTTTTTCTTCCTTCTGGTCAACTCCATTGATTTCAGTCCCAGTTTCCTTTCCATCACTATTGGTTTCCTGTGCAGTTCCCTTCATTTCAATTAGTTTAGCCTTCATTTGTTCCTCTAATTTGTGCCTAAAATCAACCAGTTCTGTGAGCATCCTGATCCCCAGTGTTTTGAACTGTGCTCATCTGATAGGTTGGCTATTTCTTGGTTGCTTAGAGTTATTGGCTCTGGGGCTTTGAGTTCTTCTTGAGTCATAATGATTTGGTCTGTTCATGCCTGTTACATATGAGGAGCGGAGCCCTAGGTGTTCACCAGGGTGGGGCAACTCAGTCACTGGGTTGTGGCGCTGTATGTGGGGGAGGGGTCTAAGAGGGGTAATAGCAGTCCCCTCTGCTGCTTCCTGCTGCTGGGGCCTGCGTGGTCCATCTCACTGCTCACTCCTTCACCTGGTTTATCTGTGCACAAATGTATGACGGTCAGCCTGCTGCCTTCCACCCTCACTGGGTCCACCTATCGCAACTCCACTCCTAGGATCCGCCAACCGCCGCCCGCACCTGGGTCAGTCCGGCCGAGTTTTCCTGCACAACCCTGCTCCGCTGCTGTCTGCGCCCCTCTTACTGGCCTGGCTGAAATAGCAAACCACAACGACAAATTGTTGTTGTCAGACTTCCGTATAGTTCAATTTTCTGTGTTTTGGTTGCGTTTTTGTTACTAAAACTTTGTTGTCTTTAAACTTGGTTGTGTGAGGAGGTACAGTGTTTCCACCTATGCCTCCATCTTGGCCGGAAGTCAATTCTTTTTTTTTAAAAAAGTGCCCCGGCCGGGTAGCTCAATTGGTTAGAGCGTTGTCGCAATGTGCCAAAGTTACAGATTCAAGCCTTGGTCAGGGCACACATAAGGATCAAACAATGAATGCACAAATAAGTAAAACAACAAATCAATGTTTTTCTCTTTCAAAAAAAAAATCAGAACTTTACCAGAACCTCATTTTTCCCCAACATTAAGGTCTCTGCTTGAAGTAGTGTGTGTGGCTGCCCGTCACACTGCCGGGCACGGCAGAGTGCAGATGAAGCCCTGGGCCCCGAAAACGGCAGTGCGAGGCCCTGGCTCGGAGCAGGGACAGCCGCTGCAGCGCCGTGAATGTCACTGTCCTCTCCAGAACAGGGTGCTCCCCGACAGGGTGGCACTGGCAGAGATTCCGTGTCCCTGTAACTGGAAGTAGAAGAGCCCGCCAGGGCCTCCGAGCATAACAAAAGTCCCATTTTCCTCTGGCGAGGGCACTGCTGAGGCCACCCCCAGGTGCCTTTTTGTGATTCCCGCTGAGACGCTGCAAGGGGGAGTTGTTTGCCAAGTGCATCCAAATCAGCTCTGTGACTAGATGAGGCCCCTGTGGCGCCTGGCATTATACTCACTCACAGGCGCTCCCACCTCTGGGGACGAAACAGGCCCCACTCCTGGGATTGACTTAGAGACTGTGCTAACAAGCCACACAGAAGCCTGGTCACTGCGGATACAGCTGTCACCTTCAGGACAGGGTCTTGATGTGACTCTATGTTCACTGGCTCTTCACCAGATGATGCATGAAATTAATTCTGTGCCTGTGAGGTGAAAAAAAAGCCCGCTCCTAAGGGCTGCTGTGGACTTAGGGAGGAGTCCCTGTCACCTGAATGACCAAGCTTAGGTCCCACAATCATCAGTCACAAGAAAGCCCCCTGGGGCATGAAAGAGAAGCCTTTGCCAAGCTGCAGTTCTGCAGCCCATGTTTCACAAGACTCAACACCGGGGGACCCTGCTTCCTACGAGGCAGAGGCAAAGGAAGCCCTCTCCTGGCATCAGAGATGCAGCCTTGGCCACAGGGGACCCCGCCTGAGGACACGGGAACCGACACATCACACACCAGCCCGAGTCCCATGGGTTTCTGGCTCCCTGGTGCAAGTGTGTCGCCTTCCACCACAGGGCGTGAGGAGACGGGGACGCGCCCGGGGCCTCGGACTCTGGGGGCCAGGCGTGCAGCACGTGCCGCTGAGCTGACGGCAGAGAGAACCCGCCGCCGCCGCATCCAAATCCACGCCCACCGAGTCAGGTGACAGGGCACACTGCTCCCCGAAACTCAGCTCTGAGTGAAATGAAATGTAAAGTCATTTAATCGTACAATTTTGATTTCACTTTGTTTCAGGAAGCTCACATTACTTTTAGTTTACATGAGTTTTATTATTTGGGTTTGGTTTTTGTTTTTTCCTACAATTCAGTGGTCACTTCAGAATATTCATAAGGTTGTGAATGATCACCATCCAACTGCTAGGACACTTTCATCACCGCAAAATCAAACCAGCTGTCACGTCTCATCTTCCCCTCCCCCAAGTCTCTGGCTTCTACTAACGTGCTTTCTCTGTCCCTATGAATTCGCTTATTCTGAACATTTTACGTAAACAGAATCATAAAACATGGCTTTTTGGTAACTGGCTTCTTTCCCTGAGAACTGTGTTTCCAAGGTTCATCTTTGTCACGGCAGGTGTCCCTCCTCTTCACCGAGTGATGTGCTGTGTGCAAGTGCATCCCGTTTTATTTATCCGCCCATCAGTTAATGGACGCTGCTGCAGCTGTTTCCACTTTTTGACTATTAGAAATAATGCTGCTGTGAACATCTGCGTCCGAGCTTTGTGTATGTTACATTTGTTCACTTCTCTTGGGTGTATACCTGGGAACGGAATTGGTGAATTTAACTTTCGGAAGAGCTGTTTGCCGGGGAAGCCGCACTACGTTACATTCCCTTCACTGATGTAGGAAGCTTCCAAGTTCTCACAGACACTTTCAGTCTTACGGACACAATAATCCTTCTGATTATTGCCCCCCTAGTGGGCGTTCACATGTTTTGTGTGAAATAGCAAGAAACACTTCTTTGTAGACTACTTTCCTAATCTCAAAAAAAATCAATTCCCACTGCAACGAACAGAAGTTCAGGTGCAGGGGATGGGCTCAGCGCTGACGTCACAGCTGCAGAGAGCTCCGGCACCCGAAGCCTAAAGAACCACGCGCCTCGCTGCCCGCTGACTCCGACAGCCTGCAGAGCAGCGAGGAGCTGCGGCCTCACCGGGACCGATGCAGGGACCGATGCACTCTGACCTCCTGTCTTGGGGGTGAGAGAAATGACAAAGCTGGAAGGCGCAGGCTGAAGGGCATCCTTCCTTCCCAGGGGCTGCCAGAGCCTCATTCTCTCTCGAACAGCTACAGCCACTCAGAAGCCGTCACTGGGTGACGTGACACACAGGGCCTGGGCTGTACCTCAGTGGGCGGCCTGCGAGCACGGGCCACCTTTCCCCACCGTGGGCCCTGCTTCCTGGACACACCACGTCAGGACTCTGACAAGGTCGTGAGCCCTGGTGCCGACAGGACCAGACCTGCGCCTGAGGCCCAGTCAGCACTCCCTTACCTCTCAGAGGCCTCCAGGGACAGGCTGGCCCTCTCCTCCTTGTGGTCACGGTCGCTGCCACTGCCTGACCGATGCAGGCTCCGGCGGGAGTGTTTGCGCCGAGGCTGCTCCCGCTCTGGTGTGTCGTCCGGCTCCACCATCTCACTTTCCACGTAGGGGTAGGCCACCAAGTTGATGTAACCATCACTGTCCCCCTCAAAGCAGACAGACACCACGCCTGTTGGAAAAAAGGCAGCCGGTCAACGCACAGCCCCAAAGGCTGGGCCCTCGAGCACAGATGTCGCCCACCCAAACGCTCGGCCGAACCACGGCCAGCAGACGTCTTTCCCGATGGCGACGGACCACCCGCACCCCTCACCTTTGCTGCTTCCCTAATCTCCCGTGAAGCTGCATTTACTTCCCAGGCTCTTAGCTAGAGCTCTCGGTGGCAACCAGTGACGTCTGCACCACTCACAGGCACCCTGCACACCCGGGAACAAGAAGTGAGGGCGGGGTGTACACTTACAAGTGTACGGGGGCCCGAGCGGCCAAACCCAGACTGATCTGAGGGATAAAGTTTCCCTGAGTCCATAATAAAAATAAATGGGTGAGAAGAGATCATTCTTCCTTACAGAACTGTAATTCCTTTTAATTAATAAATACACTAAAAATGATGGAAACGTAAGCCACCATTAGGCACGCAGCACGGTGGCAGCTGTCCCAGGCAGAACGACTGACAGACTCAAAGATCGGAGGGCTCAAGTGTGACAAGAAACAGGATACTCAGAGCCTCCACGTGTTTAATTACAACGGGAAAAAAAGATAGCTTTACCGAGCGGTCCAAGTTGAGTACCCAGTAACATGACATGCACCTCCCGACACGAGGGACTGAGGACACAGGATTACTTCTGTTGCCCAGAACACACGGCCTCAACATAATCACAAGGAAAGACAGGACAAGCCCAAACGGAGGGACCTTCCCAGTGAAATGATCGCTGGGACTTCAGAAGTGTGGAGGCCAGGAGAAACCGAGAAACTGGGCTGGGGGCAACTCGGGAGGACTGAATATAATGTGAAATCCTGGGCCAACAGACACAGTGGGAAAACTACCAAGGCCAGAATGCAGTCTACAGGTTAATTACTAGTGCTGTATCAATGTTCGTTTCCTGGTTTCAGTCATTACAAACTGCACTATACTCATTTTTTTAATATGACACTCTCACAGGTACTCGACAAGTGGCCTGAACAAAGACCGTGACTTCAGTGCAAGCCTCTTTACCACAACAGGCATGAAACAGCACCATTCTTGGAATCTACAGCCTTTAAAGCTGCGAAACCCACGTCAGGAGCTGGGAGGCAGTGGAGGGCCCGCAGGCCCGCACCGGCACCCGCATGCACAGCCGCCCTGCCGCGGCGAGTTCAGGCACCACGAGCCAGCGGCAGAGTTCACGGAGCTCAGCGGCCCCCTCTTCCCTGCACTCCTTCAGCTGAAAAACAGCTGTGTCTGCCACCCAGCTACCCATCTGTGAGGTTTCAATTTACAGCATCATGCATCTGGTCAAACAGGGAGAACAAAAAACACGCGACGTTTCCTTCTCTTTTGATGAGACACACTGTGTGGACACTGAACTTCACGAGAGTCTGGCACATTTTCCAAATTAAGGTAAAGCCCAGCTGATATTCACAAAGGGACTTTTTTCAGTCTGCGCGCCTGAGAACTTGAGAAGGATTTCCGGCACGCGCTCGATGGCTGAATGCGTGTTTACGGTGGACAAGAAACCAGTGCTTGGCAATCCTGTCCAAGCATTGACTACCTGTTTGTCCTCACCTGAGAACGAGCGGGGCAGGGAGAAAGAGAAACACTGGAGTGAGAGAAAAACACGGATCAGTCGCCTCTCACACGTGTCCCAACCGGGGACCAAACCTGCAACCCAGGCCTGCGCCCTGACTGGATGTCGAACACAGGACAACACCCCCACAGCTGAGCCACGCCAGCCAGGGTGCCAAGCACTGATCTTAAGTCCAAACGCGCCGGGAGACACAGGAGCAGCTCGTCAGCCTGGACCACTCGGTGACGTGCAGGTCTGCACCTGGCATCTGAATCATCTTGGAAAGACCGTCCACGGAGCTTTCAATTTAGACACACGTTTTAAAATACCATCTCAGCAGAACTCAAGAGTATGAAGTAATGGCCCAGCCTCTTCCCACAGGGGCTGCGGGTCCTGCTGGCACACAAGGGAGCCAGCACGCACGGGGTGGGCGCCCTTCACGGACGGATGTGCTGCCCAGTAACAGGGCTGCACCGGCCCACTGGCATCGTGGGAGCTTCAGAGAAAGCTGGGTATATGGGAACTCTATTATTTTTGCACACTTTTCTGTAATTTAAAATTCATTTCAAAATAAAACGTAAAATCCCTATGCTATGGCCTTTGAAATAGGTAAACTGAATCAATAATATCTTGCATTTTCTTTGAAGAAATTGGGCTTAATTTGATTTTTAAAAAAGGGATCAGCCTGGCTGGCGTAGCTCAGTGGATTGAGCGCGGGCCTGCGAACCAGACAATCACGGTTCGATTCCCAGTCAGGGCACATGCCAGGGTTGCAGGCAGGTTCCCTGCAGGCCAATTCCCAGCAGGGGATGCACGAAAGGCAACCATACATTGATGTTTCTCTCCCTCTCTCCTTCCCTTCCCCTCTAAAGATAAATAAATAAAATCTTTAAAAAAAAAAAAAAGGGATCAATTTTCATCTAATTGAATTATATTTCTGAGAAAGTGGATTCTCTTCTAGTGAAAATGTAGCTGGAGGAAAGAAAGTCAGGTAGACACCAAAGGTTTGCTGTGGCCTTTAAAGACTTCTGTCCCCAAATGCACGAAGGTTGGCAGGGACCAAGCCTGCGTTCTGACCGGGCACCTGGAGACCCCACCGCGCCCCGGTTCTGGGGGTGTGACTTCGAGAACATTCGCCTGGAGCTCAACTCTCAACTCCCCTTTCAGGGGCTTTCACCACAAAAGGACCCAATGTGCCAATGGGGCCTAGAGTCCTCGCTCTGGTTTTAGCATATTCACAGCAGAAGGTCAGGCCACACACGCTGAATGTGGACACGTAAATGGCTGAGGTCGCATTTATCAAGCACTTAAACTGTTGTTTCTTAGCCACTTGGAGACAGCAGTGCCATTTGATTCTGACTTCCCTCTCATTGTGCAGCCTTAGAATATTTATTCCTCCCAACTCAATATTCTTCTGGTTCTGTTTAGAAGACAACAGCAAACAAACCATCCAATTCAAAACTGCACAAAGGAGTTGAATAGATATCTCTCCAGAGAATATGTACGAATGGCCAATAAGCATATCAACATCATTAGTCATTAACAAAATGCAAATCAAAACCACAATGAGATTCCTACTAGGATGGTTTTAGTAACTTCTTAGAATGGTCTCTGGCTGTAACTCGCAGGAGTGTGGGCCTGCGAACCAAAGTGTCGCTGGTTCGATTCCCAGTCAGGGCACATGCCTGGGTTTCAGGCCAGTTCCCAGCAGGGGAAGCACAAGAGGCAACCACACATTGATGTTTCTCTCCCTCTCTCCTTCCCTTCCCCTCTAAAGTAAATAAAGTCTTAAAAAAAAAGTAAGGAAGCAAAAAGTTAATACTGATGTGAATTAGTTTTTCTAAATTAAGGATTCCCTAAGTAAAGGATGGTGTGAACATGACTGAATTCGTACAGCTTTAGAAATGTTACAAATCAGAACACAAAAAGCAGATAACTTACACATGATGAGCAATCATAAAATTGTATAAATATAGTGACAAAAATCAGACATTTCTGGGACCCGGGAGGGAGGGGCTGCCCCTTCTCTCCCACACAATCCCAGCAAACCGGAAACCTTGACACCAGCATGGTCTTTACCAGGGGGACCTGATGCTGTGAATTCTTCCAGGTTCTACCTACCAATAAATTCACTTTTCAAGACCTGAAGATCTCACACAATGCTTTCTGACCCCATTTTGCTAACAAGGGACTGAGCGGCTCTGAGACAACAGAGACCTACACTCCCACCACACCACAGGGCCGTGGGAACCTAGCTGAGGGCGCGCAGGCTCTAGGCCAGGGACTAACCTTTGTACTCAGGGGTGAACTCCTTCATCTCCGGAGGGAGGGACTCGTAGAAGCGCTGCTCCCGCGGGATGAGGGGCTTGCACACAGTGTGGTCGTCGTAGCGCATCATGCTGCTGTGCCCGCCCACCTGGTGGATGAAGGGTTCCAGGAGGACGCCCCGGTCTCCGGCCCGACTGGCGTTCTTGCCGTACTGCCCCACTTCCATGGTTTGACAAACACACATCGCGTTGGGGCCGGCTGCACACTGCGGGCAAAGGATGCAGCACATGGGCCACGGGAGGGAGCAAGGCAGGAGGTCCGGCGAGCGGGAAGCCGCTGGTCAGAGTCCGTTCGGCTCACTCTCCTTCCCTAACAGAAAGGAAGAGAGGGAGTCAACACGCCCGGAAGCTGCAACTCCCCAGTGTTCACAGCACATCTGCTCCAGGAGCAAGAACGGGGGTTCTGCTCGGTCCCAGCTGTGCTGTGGTCCCCCAGCACGGTGCGCAAAAGGCAGCTGGTGAATTTTTACTCTGATGCCATTTTGGCCTCCTCCACCTATCTTTTTATGCACGAAAGCCCATATTCTCTTCCCTTCCCAGTTCTCAGACCCCTTTGAAGTTCTCTGAACCATTTGATTTTAAAGTTACAGCACATTACAGCCAACAGGAAGGCAACCTGCAATCCCGGTTCACTTCACATCCAAAGTTTAGGAGTCCAGGAAGAAAAGAGAAAGCGACACAAACCCATTCTGCTCAGGCGTCTCAGGTGTCAGTAGTGGGAAGGGTCTCTCCCTGACTCACGGGAAGTGCTTCCACCTGAAAAGTCAGGTCACACTGGGGTCCCAACTTTTCTGCAGAAGGTGCCAAGGAGCAGGTGGGGAAAGCCATCCCTTGTCAAGTTGTAGAACAGAAAAATGTCTTGCTTTTCCCAGAGTTCAGGCTTCAGATTTCTTTTGTGCTAAGTCTCTGGCCACCAAGTTCCGACCACTGCTAGCACCAGGGCCTCCCTTTCTGTCTGAATCCACGCCAACCAGGAGGACAAGAAAAAGCTCTTTGTCTGCAAATACCCTGCTTGTAATGTTCATTTTCTCTCAAGAAAGTTAAAAGTAGTGGCACCTTTCTTAGTACTGAATATTTTTTAAAACTGGAAATGCATTGGCAAGACTACATCTGAAAAGTCATAAATTAGAGAATGAATATATATATATATATATATATATATATATATATATGGTTTTACCTGCAAGAGACAAACCGTTACTTTTTTCTGAACCTCATAATTATGGGAGAGCGGGGCTATCCAAAAACACTGTCGCAGAACTGCAACAGCGTCCTAATCCAAAACTGCCCAGAAACTGTGTTCTGCTCCGACCGCTGTCAACAAGAATAGACCGGCCTCCACTCCCACGCCCTGCAGATCGGCGCTGCTTTCCGGCACATGTGTTTGTGCTTCTCCATCTACTTTCCAGTCCTCCTTCGGGATGAGGCTCCTGCCCCAGGGCAGTTCCCCAGACCTCCACTGTCTCCTGCCCCAAGTTGGCCCCCAGGGTCCCTAAGGCAGCCCGTGCTGACTCCAGCACTGCAGACCACCGCCGCCACTGAAGCACTCTCACCTCCTCCCAGGGTCTGAGACAGGCCCTGGCACACAGTAAGTGCTCTAAAAAGTAAGTAAGTAAATAAATAAAGTTTGTTGGAATAAATTAAATGATTCGTGAAGACCACAGTGAGTAAAGAGCAAAGGCACAACGATGTGGAAGTAAAGCGCAGCTCACGGGGCAGCACTCACGGCAGGAGACAGGCCGGCGCTCAGGGAGGCCCTCCTGGCAGCGGCTCTAAGTGGCACCGCCGGTCGGCTCCCACCCTGGCTCCGCTGCACCCGGGGTGGCCGCGGCCCACGCAGGGCAAAGCAGAAGGTATGACACTCCGTAGCCTGGTCAGCGGGTGTCTGAGGAAGGAGGGGGCTGACAGAGAGAGTGCCCGGGGGAGCTGAGCAGGCGGCGGGGCCGGGAACTGGCCGGCCCGACTCTGGAGGACCCCGCAGCCTTCCCAGGGCGGAAGGCCAGTCCAACCCCCGGTCGGATCTAGACTCCGCAACGGTGTTTCCACAGGACGTCTACGGAAAGTCATGGTGCTCTTTGTGTCTGACACATTTTCTTAGAAGTATCCACACAAAACACTCCACATTTTTGTAATCTTGTTTTGGCATTTCCTTTTAAATAAACCAGGAATCTGAAAAAAGTGGAAGTGCCAGAACTCTCCCCACCTCTCTCTCTGAAGCCCCGGCTTACCAACTGTGGATCTTGGGCAAGTCACTCAACTTCCCATGCGCGCACCGGTAAAAGGAAGACTCGCCCACCGCTAACCCCGAAGGACGTGCCCACGCAAGCGAAGGGCTTGGGCTTGTCTCAAATACGGCCCGGCCTTGGAAGTTCTGGAAACAGCAGCAGTCTGACTCACTTTTATAAACACCCTGAGGGTGCCTCTGCCCTCCATGTACTTCCTTGCTAACAGAGTCACGATCCTGTTCAGGTGGCCAGACCTCAAGGGAATGGAACGCGCCACTCCCACCCAGGGAGGATCAGGAACAGGCCCAGTGCTTCTGAGTGGCCGCCTGAGGACAGGGCATCAGCGAGGGAAGTTGGCCAGGGGTCCTCTGGGGAAAGTTGCCTTGCTCTTCAAGAACACGAGAGAGGCATCCCTCCTATTTCTCGGGACATGACTCCATCCGGGTGTGGTACCTGAGACTATACTGCAGCCACCGTGGGACCTTAAAGGCCAACATGATGAGCACACAGAACAGAGAGACAGAATAAACCAGGGTCCCTTACACTGTCACAAAAGTACTAGATATCTTGTTATGTAACAAAGATAAATTTCCCTTTAGATTTAAGCCAGTTGCATTAGGGTTTTGTCACTTTTAGTAAAAGTCGTCCTAAACGAAAGGACAGAAATAGTCGCATCAAAATCCCTGTATCTCGCCCTGGCTGGTGAGGCTTAGAGGACTGAGTGCTGTCCTGTTAACCATGGGGTCACCAGTTTGATTCCCACTCAGGGCACGTGCCTGGGTTGTGGGCCAGGTCCCCAGCGGGGCGTGCGAAAGCAACCACACACTGATGTTTCTTGCTCTCTCTTTCTCCCTCCCTTCCCCTCTGTCTAAAATAAATAAAATCTTTTAAAAACAAAACCCCAAAACCCCCCAAATTCCCAGATCTCCAGTTGATGTACTTTACACATAAAGAGCCCAGTGTTTCTGATGACAAGGAAGCTGCAACAATTGAAGAACAAGTCCTTCACTGGTAACAAAGTGCGTGCTCTGCCCAAGGCCAAAAATAAAAAATGTAGCTCTTTAATCTTTAAAGTGTCCCCTGAAGGCAGAGAACTTGAATTATATCTGGTCCTCTGGGCTGGTGCCAAGATACTAAGAAATAATCCGACAAACATAAAATTCCTTCTCTAATAAGAGGTAATGAATGTCTACATACCCAAATAATGAGCTCAGGACTGAGCCTCCTGTGATTCAACAAGAGGCAGAACATAGAAGACACACTCTCACTACACCGCGACCCCACTGATCATTTCGAAGAGTTTCTACAAACTCTTCTAAATGCAATGGCGTGGGGACTTCCGGCAAGATGGAGGCATAAGTAGACACACTGTGCCTCCTCACACAACCAAATGAAGGACGACAACAATTTAAAAACAAAAAAGAACCAGAACTGCCAGGACACCGAACTGTAAAGGAGTCTGAAAACCAAGGAGTTAAAAAAGAAACATTCAGACTAGTAGGAGGGGCAGAGACAGGGCAGAGGATGCGCAGCATGGCAACGGCTGGAGGCCCGGGAGAGGTGGCGGACCGGCACGCCCACATCTGTGTGCGGACAAACTGGGAGGAACAACTAGGAATCGAGACAGACCATGTAGCCCAGAGTTCCAGCCCAAGGAAATAAAGCCACAAAACCTCTGCCTGTGAAAATCTGTGGGGATTGCAGTGGAATGATAAACTCCCAATCTCACAGGAGAGTCCACTGGAGGGGCCCACAGGGTCCTAGGCAGTACATAAGCCCACCCACAGGGAACCAGCACCGACAGGGCCCAATTTGCTTGTGGGTAGCAGGGAATTGACTGAAAGCCAGTCCAGAGCCAAGCAAGTATCATGGTTCCCTCTTGGACTCCCACCCTACATACAGCACCATGACACAGTGACATGGGTTGCCCCGCCCTGGTGAATACCTAAGGCTCCACCCCTTTTATGTAACAGGTGCACCGAGACAAAGAAGTATGGCCCAAATGAAAGAACTGATCAGCCCTGACTGGTGTAGCCCAGTGGACTGAGTGCAGGCTGGGAACCAAAGGGTTACCAGTTCGATTCCCAGTCAGGACATATGCCCGGTTGCAGGCATATCCCCAGTAGGGGGGATGTGAGAGGCAACCACACATTGATGTTTCTCTCCCTCTCTTTCTCCTTCCCTTCCCTTCTCTCTAAAAATAAATAAATAAAACTCATTAAAAAGAAAAAAGGAAAGAACAGATCACAACTCCAAAAATAGAACTAAGTGACCAAGAGATAGCCAACCTATCAGATGCACGGTTCAACACACTGATGATCAGGATACTCACAGAACTGGTTGATTTTAGTCACAAAATAGAAGAAACCATGAAGGCTATGAAAATTGAAATAAAGGAAAATGCACAGGAAACCAGCAGTGACAGGAAGAAAACCGGGACTCAAATCAATGGAGTGGACCAGAAGGAAGAAACAACCAAACAGAAAAGAATGAAGAAACAAAAATTCAAAAAAATGAGGAGAGGCTTAGGAACCTCCAGGACATCTTTAAATGCTCCAACATCCGAATTATAGGAGTACCAGAAGGGGAAGAGGAAGAGCAACAAGTGGAAACATTATTTGAACAAATAATAAAGGGGAATTTCCCCAGTCTGGCAAAGGAAATAGACTTCCAGGAAGTCCAGAAAGCTCAGAGAGTCCCAAAGAAGTTGGACCCAAGAAGGAACACACCAAGGCACATCATCATTATATTACCAAAGATTAAAATGAAGGAGAGAATTCTAGAAGCAGCAAGAAATAAGGGGACAGTCACCTTACAAAGGAGTTCCCATCAGGCTGTCAGCTGATTTCTCAAAAGAGACCTTCCAGGCAAGAAGGGGCTGGGAAGAAGTATTCCAAGTCATGAAAGGCAAGGACCTACATCCAAGATTGCTCTACCCAGCAAAGCTTTCATTTAGGATGGAAGGGCAGATAAAGTGCTTCTCAGATAAGGTCAAGTTAAAGGAGCTCATCATCACCAAGCCCTTATTATATGAAATGGTAAAGAGGCTTATCTAAGAAAAAGAAGAAAGAAACTATTAACAGTA